CACAGAGGCCCACAGACTTACACGGAGACCCACAGACTCACACGGAGACTCACAGACTCATATAGACTCACACAGAGACCCATAGACTCATATAGACTCACAGAGAGTCTCGCAGACTCACAGAGGCCCACAGACTTACACGGAGACCCACAGACTCACACGGAGACCCGCAGACTCACACAGAGACCCACATACGCACACAGAGACCCACAGACTCACACGAAGACCCACAGACTCACACGGAGACCCACAGACTCACACAGAGACCCGTAGACTCACACGGAGACCCACAGACTCATATAGAGACCCACAGATTCACAGAGACCAACAGACTGACACAGAGACCCATCGACTCTTATAGACTCACACAGAGACCCACAGACTCACACGGAGACCTGCAGAATCCTCACAGAGACCCACAGACTCACACAGAGGCCCACAGACTCACACAGAGACCAACAGACTCACACACAGAGACCCATAGACTCATATAGACTCACACAGAGACCCACAGACTCACACGGAGTCCCACAGACGCACACACTGAGACCCACAGATTCACACAGAGACCCACAGATTCACACAGAGACCCACAGACTCACACACTGAGACCCATAGACTCACACAGAGACCCACAGACTCACACGGAGTCCCACAGACGCACACACTGAGACCCACAGACTCAAGCAGAGACCCACAGACTCACACAGAGACCCACAGACTCACACGGAGACCCACAGACTCACTCATACAGAGACCTACATACGCACACGGAGACCCACACACACACACAGAGACCCACATACGCACACAGAGACCCACAGACTCACACGGAGACCCACAGACTCACACGGAGACCCACAGACTCACACGGAGACCCACAGACTCACACGGAGACCCACAGACTCATATAGAGACCCACAGACTCACAGAGACCAACAGACTGATACGGAGACCCATAGACTCATATAGACTCACACACAGACCCACAGACTCACGGAGTCCTGCAGAATCCGCACACGGAGACCCACAGACTCACACGGAGACCCGCAGACTCACAAAGAGACGCACAGACCCACACAGAGACTCACAGACCCACACAGAGACCCACAGACTCACACGAAGACCCACAGACTCACACGGAGACTCACAGACTCATATAGACTCACACAGAGACCCATAGACTCATATAGACTCACAGAGAGACTCGCAGACTCACACGGAGACCCACAAACTCACAGAGGCCCACAGACTCACACGGAGACTCACAGACTCATATAGACTCACACAGAGACCCATAGACTCATATAGACTCACACAGAGACCCATAGACTCATATAGACTCACAGAGAGTCTCGCAGACTCACAGAGGCCCACAGATTTACACGGAGACCCACAGACTCACACGGAGACTCACAGACTCATATAGACTCACACAGAGACCCATAGACTCATATAGACTCACAGAGAGACTCGCAGACTCACACGGAGACCCACAAACTCACAGAGGCCCACAGACTCACACGGAGACTCACAGACTCATATAGACTCACACAGAGACCCATAGACTCATATAGACTCACACAGAGACCCATAGACTCATATAGACTCACAGAGAGGCTCGCAGACTCACAGAGGCCCACAGACTTATACGGAGACCCACAGACTCACACGGAGACTCACAGACTCATATAGACTCACACAGAGACCCATAGACTCATATAGACTCACAGAGAGTCTCGCAGACTCACAGAGGCCCACAGACTTACACGGAGACCCACAGACTCACACGGAGACCCGCAGACTCACACAGAGACCCACATACGCACACAGAGACCCACAGACTCACACGAAGACCCACAGACTCACACGGAGACCCACAGACTCACACAGAGACCCGTAGACTCACACGGAGACCCACAGACTCATATAGAGACCCACAGATTCACAGAGACCAACAGACTGACATAGAGACCCATAGACTCTTATAGACTCACACAGAGACCCACAGACTCACACGGAGACCTGCAGAATCCTCACACGGAGACCCACAGACTCACACAGAGGCCCACAGACTCACACAGAGACCCACAGACTCACACACAGAGACCCATAGACTCATATAGACTCACACAGAGACCCACAGACTCACACGGAGTCCCACAGACGCACACACTGAGACCCACAGATTCACACAGAGACCCACAGACTCAAGCAGAGACCCACAGACTCACACACTGAGACCCATAGACTCACACAGAGACCCACAGACTCACACGGAGTCCCACAGACGCACACACTGAGACCCACAGACTCAAGCAGAGACCCACAGACTCACACAGAGACCCACAGACTCACACGGAGACCCACAGACTCACTCATACAGAGACCTACATACGCACACGGAGACCCACACACACACACAGAGACCCACATACGCACACAGAGACCCACAGACTCACACGGAGACCCACAGACTCACACGGAGACCCACAGACTCACACGGAGACCCACAGACTCACACGGAGACCCACAGACTCATATAGAGACCCACAGACTCACAGAGACCAACAGACTGATACGGAGACCCATAGACTCATATAGACTCACACACAGACCCACAGACTCACGGAGTCCTGCAGAATCCTCACACGGAGACCCACAGACTCACACAGAGACCCACAGAAAGGCGCGTGTGTCAGGCTAGGTGCACGTTGAGGCCACGTGAAGTGTCGAACGCCCGCTGGCAGGAGGTCAGGGGGCAGACCCAAGTGCCACGGGTCGGCTGACTGAGATGACTGAGATGACTGGCTGATGCACCCCCTACTGTGCCAACCTGCTGTGCTTTAGCCACCCGGCGCTCCGCTCGTTGTTGTGAGCGTCGCTCCTCCGCCCTCCGTTGTTGTTGGAGGGCGACTGCCTCCAACTTCCCAGCAGCGTCCTTCAATAGCCTCCTCCAGAGGCCGATCTTGACACCGCTGGTACCAGTCATCGGCAAGTCCACTCAGCAACACATCCTCCTGTACCAAATCACTCCATCTCTTCTCTAGCCTATGCCGCGCCCGTTTAGCCCCCTATATCCGGCTGAACAAAAGTTGTTTAGGCATGCGGTGACCGGGCATGCGGGCTACATGACCCAGCCAACGCAGCCTTGCCCGCCGGAGGAGCTCACCGATGGGACCTTGCCCAGATCTTTCAAGGATTTGTGAGCTCCTCACACAATCCAGCCTGGTTAAACCCAGGATGGATCGTAGGCAGGCCAGCCTCAATGTTTCTAACCGGCGAAGATGTTCCATTAGAGGGGGGTCCATGTTTTGCAAGCGTAGAGAAGGGAGGGAATGACCGTCGCCGAGAAGACCTGAAGCTTAGTGCGGAGCGACAGACCAGGTAGCTTCCATACAGCGTTACGCAACCGATGAAAAGATATTGCCGCTCGACTGATTAGGAGTGAGACCTCTGCTGTCAAACCAGAGCCGGTCATGAGCACACTGCCCAGGTATGGGAAACTCTCCACTCTCTCCACAACTGCCCCATCACCGATTGGGAATCGTGGGGGTGGAGTGTCCGATGGTACAAAATACCCAGGCAGGTGCTTAGTTCTGGTGGGGCTGATGGTAAGGCCCCACCTCTTAGTGGCACGCTCCAGTCTCAGCAGCAGCGTCTCCAACTCCTCCACTGAGTGAGCGGCAATTACCAGATCATCAGCATACATAATGTGGTTGACCAATAGGGAGCCATCCCTTGACCGCACCCGGGCATCGATCAGCCTCCCATTGTATTTACACCATATGGAGATTCCCCCGGTACAGCTATTGAAGGCTTCACGGACTACGTGGTCAAAATAGATGTTAAATAATGTGGGAGCCAGAGGACATCCCTGTCGCACCCCAAGGTGTACAGGGAATGGCTCTGACTCCCGGCTACGTAGTTTTACCCGGGACCGCTCACCATCATGAAGGTCCTTAATGATCGTGAGCAGCGGGTCAGGGACTCCAAAAGCACGAAGAACAACCCAGAGCCCAAGCCTACTGATGGTATCATAGGCCTTGACCAGGTCAATAAAGCAGAGATGTAGGTCTTGTTGGAATTCCCTACACCTCTTCTGTTGGAGACGGACAGAAAACACGGCATCTGTGCAGGACCGCCCTTTCCTGAAACCACACTGGGGCTCTGCAAGCCTCTCATCAGCGTGCCTGGCAAGGCGATGTTGAATAATCCTTGCCAGGACCTTTCCCGGCACACTGAGGAGTGAGATGCCCCTGTAGTTGTTACAGTCTGTGCGGTCCCCCTTCTTAAAGAGAGGGACTACCAGGGCATCCTTCCAATCCTGCGGAACCCGTCCAGTGGTCCAGACTGTTGTTATGATGTCACGTAGGGCAGTCTGTGCACAAACGCCACCCTCCCAAATACACTTACTCACTCACACACTCACTCATAGACTCGCTCACTCATACACTCACTCATACACTCACTCATACACTCACTCATATACTCACTCGCTCACTCATACACTCGCTCACTCATACACTCACTTACCCACTCACTCACGCACCCATCACTCACTCATTCACTAACTCCCTCATACACTCACTCACTCATTCACTCACTCACTCATACACTCACTCATACACTCACTCACTCATACACTCACTCACTTACTCATACACTCACTCACTTACTCATACACTCACTCACTCACACACTCACTCACACACTCACTCACTCACTCATACACTCACACATACACTCACTCACTCACACACTCACTCACACACTCACTCACTCACTCATACACTCACACATACACTCACTCACTCACACACTCACACATACACTCACTCATACACTCACTCACTCACTCCCCCCATCACTCACTCACTCACACGCACACTCACCCACCCCACCCCGCTCGCCACACCACCACCACCACCACGCTCGCCACACCACCACCCACCACGCTCGCCACACCACCACTCACCACGCTCGCCACACCCGCTCACCGTCAGGTTATCCTCGTACAGCTTCAGGTCGTAGCCGCTCAGCTCCACGCAGAAGATGATGGCCGTGACGCCCTCGAAGCAATGGATCCACTTCTTACGCTCGGACCGCTGTCCGCCCACGTCCACCATCTTGAAGGTGAGCTCCTTGAAGGTGAAGCGGTTCTCCACAATGCCCGTGGTCATGTCGCGCGACCGCAGGATGTCCTCCACCGTCGGCACGTAGCCCGGCGCGGCGATGCGCTCCAGGTCGCCGAGGTAGTAGGCCGCGTTGTCCTCCAGGTGGTACTCGCTGGAGCGTCCGAAGCAAAGCTGCACACCCGGGTCGCACCAAAGGCGCCTCATGATGGCGAGGAGCTCGGGGCTGATCTCGCCCTTGCTCTCCGCCGGGCCGGTCAGGGCGAAGAGCTGCACCGCATCGTAGGCACGCTCCTGCGGGCGGTCGGGGCGGAGGGTGGTTGGCGAGTGTGGTGGGTTGGTTTGGTGGTGGTGGTGAGTGTGGTGGGTGGTGAGTGGTGTGTGTGGTGGTGTGTGGTGAGTGTGGTGGTGGTGGTGGGTGTGGTGGTGGTGGTGTGGTGGGGTGTGGTGGTGGTGGTGGCGGTGTGTGGTGGTGGGGTGTGGTGGTGGTGGTGATGAGTGTGGTGGTGGTGAGTGTGGTGGTGGTGAGTGTAGTGGTGGTGGGGTGTGGTGTGATGGTAGTGGTGAGTGTGGTGGTGGCGAGTGTGGTGGTGGTGGTGAGTGTGGTGTGATGGTAGTGGTGGTGGGGTGTGGTGTGATGGTAGTGGTGAGTGTGGTGGTGGTGATGAGTGTGGTGGTGGCGAGTGTGGTGGTGGTGGGGTGTGGTGGTGGTGAGGTGGGGTGTGCTGTGGGTGTGTGGGGTGTGGTGTGGATGGGTGAGTGGGTGGGTGAGTGGGTGGGTGAGTGGGTGAGTTGGTGGGTAGGTGGGTGCGTGAGTTAGTGGGTGTATAGGTGGAATGGTGGGTGGGTGGGTGGGTTGGTGGGTGAGTGGGTGGGTGAGTGGGTGGCTTGGTGCATGAGTGGGTGGGTGGGTGAGTGGGTGGCATGGTGGGTGAGTGGGTGTGTGGTTGAGTGACTTAGGAACCGAGTGAGCGACTGAACGAGTGAGTGAGTCAATGAATCACCGAGTAAGCGAGTGACTCAGCTAGCGAGTGAGCGAGCGACTCAGCGAGCGAGCGACGAGCAAGCGAGTGACTGAGCTAGTGAGGGAGTGAGCGACTGAACGAACGAGCGACTGAGCGAGCGACGAGCAAGTGAGTGACCGAGCGACTGAGCGAGGGAGGGAGTGAGCGACTGAGCGAGCGAGCTAAAGAGCGATCGACGAGCAAGCGAGTGACTGAGCAAGCGAGTGACTAAGCTAGTGAGTGACTAAGCTAGTGAGTGACCGAGCGGCTGGGCGAGCGAGTAACTGAGCGAGTGAGCGACTGAGTGAGCGAGCGAGCAACTGAGCGAGCGAGCGACTGGGCGAGCGAGTAACTGAGCGAGTGAGTGACCGAGCGACTGAGCGACTGGGCGAGCGAGTAACTGAGTGATCGAGCGACTGAGCGAGCGACTGAGCGACTGGGCGAGCGAGTAACTGAGCGAGTGAGCGACTGAGTGAGCGAGTGAGCGACTGGGCGAGCGAGTAACTGAGCGAGTGAGCGACTGAGCGAGTGAGCGACTGAGCGAGCGAGCGACTGAGCGGGCGAGTAACTGAGCGAGCGAGTGACTGAGCGAGTGAGCGACTGGGCGAGCGAGCGACTTAGCGAGCGAGTAACTGAGCAAGCGACTGAGCGACTGGGCGAGCGAGTAACTGAGCGAGTGAGCGACTGGGCGAGCGAGCGACTGAGCGAGCGAGTAACTGAGCGAGCGAGCGACTGGGCGAGCGAGCGACTGGGCGAGCGAGTAACTGAGCAAGCGACTGAGCGAGCGAGTAACTGAGTGAGCGACTGGGCGACTGAGCGAGCGAGTAACTGAGCGAGTAACTGAGCGAGTAACTGAGGCAAGCGACTGAGCGACTGAGCGAGCGAGTAACTGAGCGAGTGAGTGACTGGGCGAGCGAGCGACTGAGCGAGCGAGTAACTGAGCGAGCGAGCGACTGAGCGAGCGAGCGACCTAGCGAGCGAGTAACTGAGCAAGCGACTGAGCAACTGAGCGAGCGAGTAACTGAGCGAGTGAGTGACTGGGCGAGCGAGCGACTGAGCGAGCGAGTAACTGAGCGAGCGAGCGACTGAGCGAGCGAGCGACCTAGCGAGCGAGTAACTGAGCGAGCGACTGAGCGACTGAGCGAGCGAGTAACTGAGCGAGCGAGTGACTGAGCGAGCGAGTGACTGAGCGAGCGAGCGACTGAGCGAGTGAGCGACTGGGCGAGCGAGCGACTGAGCGAGCGAGTAACTGAGCGAGCGAGCGACTGAGCGAGCGAGCGACCTAGCGAGCGAGTAACTGAGCAAGCGACTGAGCGACTGAGCGAGCGAGTAACTGAGCGAGCGAGTGACTGAGCGAGCGAGTAACTGAGCGAGCGAGCGACTGAGCGAGCGAGCGACCTAGCGAGCGAGTAACTGAGCAAGCGACTGAGCGACTGAGCGAGCGAGTAACTGAGCGAGTGAGTGACTGGGCGAGCGAGCGACTGAGCGAGCGAGTAACTGAGCGAGCGAGCGACTGAGCGAGCGAGCGACCTAGCGAGCGAGTAACTGAGCGAGCGACTGAGCGACTGAGCGAGCGAGTGACTGAGCGAGCGAGTGACTGAGCGAGCGAGTGACTGAGCGAGCGAGCGACTGAGCGAGCGAGCGACTGAGCGAGCGAGCGACTGAGCGAGCGACTGGGCGAGCGAGCGACTGGGCGAGCGAGCGACTGGGCGAGCGAGTAACTGAGCAAGCGACTGAGCGAGCGAGTAACTGAGTGAGCGACTGGGCGACTGAGTGAGCGAGTAACTGAGCGAGTAACTGAGCGAGTAACTGAGCAAGCGACTGAGCGACTGAGCGAGCGAGTAACTGAGCGACTGAGCGACTGAGCGAGCGAGCGACTGAGCGAGTGAGCGACTGAGCGAGCGAGCGACCTAGCGAGCGAGTAACTGAGCGAGCGAGCGACTGAGCGAGCGAGCGACTGAGCGAGTGAGCGACTGGGCGAGCGAGCGACTGAGCGAGCGAGTAACTGAGCGAGCGAGCGACTGAGCGAGCGAGCGACCTAGCGAGCGAGTAACTGAGCAAGCGACTGAGCGACTGAGCGAGCGAGTAACTGAGCGAGCGAGTGACTGAGCGAGCGAGTAACTGAGCGAGCGAGCGACTGAGCGAGCGAGCGACCTAGCGAGCGAGTAACTGAGCAAGCGACTGAGCGACTGAGCGAGCGAGTAACTGAGCGAGTGAGCGACTGGGCGAGCGAGCGACTGAGCGAGCGAGTAACTGAGCGAGCGAGCGACTGAGCGAGCGAGCGACCTAGCGAGCGAGTAACTGAGCAAGCGACTGAGCGACTGAGCGAGCGAGTAACTGAGCGAGCGAGTGACTGAGCGAGCGAGTGACTGAGTGAGCGAGTGACTGAGCGAGCGAGCGACTGAGCGAGCGAGCGATTGAGCGAGCGAGTGACTGAGCGAGCGACTGGGCGAGCGAGCGACTGAGCGAGCGAGTGACTGAGCGAGCGACTGGGCGAGCGAGCGACTGAGCGAGTGACTGAGCGAGCGACCGACCGAGCGAGCCATCGACCGAGCGAGCGAGCAGCTCCCTCCCCCTCCCCACCCCGCCCGCCGCCACTCCCACCCCCACACACCGACCTGGTTGCCGAAGTCGATCTTGAGCACGCCGACGGCACGGATGATGCGCGTGAGCGAGTCGATGGCGTTGTAGACGATGAGCGGGCGGTACTCGCGACACGCGTCCAGGTTGAAGCCCCCGCTGTGGATGATCTTCATCTGCTTCACGATGGTGCTCTTGCCCGAGTTGCTGGTGCCCAGCAGGAGCAGCTTGATCTCCCGCCGCTGCCGCTGGCTCTCCGAGCGGAGGTGGCGGTCGATGCGGCGCGAGCGACGAGCGGCCTCCTTCTCCTCGGCGCTCTGGCGGCAGCCCATGGCTGCTGCTGCTGGTGGTGGTGGTGTGGGTAGGGGTGTGGTGTGGGTAGGGGTGTGGTGTGGTGTGGTGTGGGTGGTGTGGGTGTGGGTGTGGTGGGGGTGTGGTGTGGGTAGGGGTGTGGTGGAGGTGTGGGTAGGGGTGTGGTGTGGTGTGGGTAGGGGTGTGGTGGAGGTGTGGGTGTGGTGGTGCGGGTAGGGGTGTGGGTAGGGGTGTGGTGTGGTGGGGGTGTGGTGTGGGTAGGGGTGTGGTGTGGTGGGGGTGTGGTGTGGGTAGGGGTGTGGTGTGGTGTGGGTAGGGGTGTGGTGTGGGTGTGGGTGTGGTGTGAGTGGTGTGGGTAGGGGTGTGGTGGGGGTGTGGTGTGGGTGTGGTGTGAGTCGTGTGGGTAGGGGTGTGGTGTGAGTGGTGTGGGTAGGGGTGTGGTGTGGGTAGGGGTGTGGTGTGGGTGTGGTGTGAGTGGTGTGGGTAGGGGTGTGGTGTGAGTGGTGTGGGTAGGGGTGTGGTGGGGGTGTGGTGTGGGTAGGGGTGTGGGTAGGGGTGTGGTGTGGTGGTGCGGGTAGGGGTGTGGGTAGGGGTGTGGTGTGGTGCGGGTAGGGGTGTGGTGTGGTGTGGTTGTGGTGTGGGTGGTGGTGGTGGGGGTGTGGTTGTGTGTGATGTGGGTGTGGTGTGAGTGGTGTGGTGTGTGTGGTGTGGGTGGTGTGGGTGTGGTGTGGTGGGGGTGTGGTGTGTGTGGTGGGGGTGTGGTGTGAGTGGTGTGGTGTGTGGTGTGGGTGGTGTGGGTGTGGTGTGTGTGGTGTGGTGGGGGTGTGGTGAGTGTGGGTGTGGTGTGGTGAGAGTGGTGTGGTGGAGGTGGTGTGGGTGGTGTGGTGTGAGTGGTGTGGTGGGGGTGTGGTGTGTGTGGTGGGGGTGTGGTGAGTGGTGTGGTGGAGGTGGTGTGTGTGGTGTGTGTGGTGTGTGTGGTGTGGTGGAGGTGGTGTGGGTGGTGTGGTGGTGGTCATGGTGGTGGATGGTGCACCATGGTGAAGGGAAAAACAAGGATAGTAAATTATTAACTCTACGTAGATATTTACATAACCACCCCCACCACCACCTCCTCCACAACCACCACCACAACCTCCACCCCCATCACCCCCTAGTCCACCACCTCCACCACCACCTCCTACTAAAACTAAACCATGATTATTGTAGCCAGGGTCTAAGGGGCTCCATCAGTGAGCTGGTCTCTGTGTAAATCTTTGTTTTGGTTAGAGAAGCAACCTGGCCATGAAACAATATCATCATCATCAGCATCATCATGTAGACATTGGAGAGCAAATCAACTAAAACTAAACCATGATTATTGTAGCCAGGGACTAAGGGGATCCATCAGTGAGCTGGTCTCTGTGTAGCTCGTTGTTTTGTTTAGAGAAGCAACCTGGCCATCAAACAATATCATCAGCATCATCACCATCATCATCATCATGTAGACATTGAGAGCAAACCAACTAATACTAAACCATGATTATTGTAGCCAGGGACTAAGGGGATCATCAATGAGCTGGTCTCTGTGTAGCTCGTTGTTTTGTTTAGAGAAGCAACCTGGCCATCAAGCAATATCATCATCAGCATCATCATCATGTAGACATTGAGAGCAAATAAACTAAAACTAAACCATGATTATTGTAGCCAGGGACTAAGGGGCTCCATCAATGAGCTGGTCTCTGTGTAAATCTTTGTTTTGGTTAGAGAAGCAACCTGGCCATGAAACAATATCATCATCAGCATCATCATGTAGACATTGAGAGCAAATCAACTAAAACTAAACCATGATTATTGTAGCCAGGGTCTAAGGGGCTCCATCAGCGAGCTGATCTCTGTGTAGCTCGTTGTTTTGTTTAGAGAAGCAACCTGGCCATCAAACAATATCATCATCACGATCATCATGTCGACATTGGAGAGCAAATCAACTAAAACTAAACCATGATTATTGTAGCCAGGGTCTAAAGGGCTCCATCAGTGAGCTGATCTGTGTAAATCGTTGTTTTGTTTAGAGAAGCGACCTGGTCATCAAACAATATCATCATCATCACGATCATCATCATGTAGACATTGAGAGCAAATCAACTAAAACTAAACCATGATTATTGTAGCCAGGGACTAAGGGGCTCCATCAGTGAGCTGATCTGTGTAAATCTTTGTTTTGTTTAGAGAAGCAACCTGGCCATCAAACAATATCATCATCATCACCATCATCATCATGTAGACATTGAGAGCAAATCAACTAAAACTAAACCATCATTATTGTAGCCAGGGTCTAAGGGGCTCCATCAGTGAGCTGGTCTCTGTGTAAATCTTTGTTTTGGTTAGAGAAGCAACCTGGCCATCAAACAATATCATCATCAGCATCATCACCATCATCATCATCATGTAGACATTGAGAGCAAATCAACTAAAACTAAACCATGATTATTGTAGCCAGGGTCTAAGGGGCTCCATCAGCGAGCTGATCTGTGTAAATCTTTGTTTTGTTTAGAGAAGCGACCTGGCCATCAAACAATATCATCAGCATCATCACCATCATCATCATGTAGACAATGAGAGCAAATCAACTACAACTAAACCATGATTATTGTAGCCAGGGTCTAAGGGGCTCCATCAGTGAACTGCTCTCTGTGTAGCTCTTTGTACAGACAAGCCACCTTGGCCATCACGGCTCAATCACGTGGCTGATATCATCGTCGCCACCGTCACCGCGCGGACATTCGTGGTGAAAGTCAAACACCCGGAGCACGTGGAGAGGACAAAGCGGAGGTCCAGGAGATAAATCCACAGCAGTGAGAGAGAGAGAGAGAGAAACAGACTCCACGCGTACAGAAGGAGGCATCGTCAGGGTCCGGGATCGAACCCACGACCTCCTGGAGACCAGGCGAGGTAGTCAACATCTCATCAGGGTCGGGATTTAACCCACAGCCTCCTGCATACCATGCGAGGTATTCAACATCTCATCAGGGTTGGGATAGAACCCACGACCTCCTGCGTATCAGGCGAGGTAGTCAACATCTCATCAGGGTCGGGATCGAACCCACGACCTGCTACAGACCAGGCGAGGTAGTCAACATCTCATCAGGGTCTGGGATCGAACCCACGATCTCCTGCAGACCAGGCGAGGTAGTCAACATCTCATCAGAGTTGGGATAGAACCCACGACCTCCTGCGTACCAGGCGAAGTTATCAACATCTCATTAGGGTGGTGATCGAACCCACGACCTCCTGCATACCTGGCGAGGTAGTCAACATCTCATCAGGGTTGGAATCGAACCCACGACCTCCTGCAGACCAGGCGAGGTAGTCAACATCTCATCAGGGTCGGGATCGAACCCACGACCTCCTGCAGACCAGGCGAGGTAGTCAACATCTCATCAGGGTCTGGGATCGAACCCACGACCTCCTGCAGACCAGGCGAGGTAGTCAACATCTCATCAGGGTCTGGGATCGAACCCACGACCTCCTGCAGATCAGGCGAGGTAGTCAACATCTCATCAGGGTCTGGGATCGAACCCACGACCTCCTGCATACCAGGCGAGGTAGTCAACATCTCATCAGGGTCGGGATTTAACCCACAACCTCCTGCATACCAGGCGAGGTAGTCAACATCTCATCAGGGTTGGGATAGAACCCACGACCTCCTGCGTACCAGGCGAGGTAGTCAACATCTCATCAGGGTCGGGATCGAACCCACGACCTCCTGCAGACCAGGCGAGGTAGTCAACATCTCATCAGGGTCTGGGATCGAACCCACGACCTCCTGCAGACCAGGCGAGGTAGTCAACATCTCATCAGAGTTGGGATAGAACCCACGACCTCCTGCGTACCAGGCGAAGTTATCAACATCTCATTAGGGTGGTGATCGAACCCACGACCTCCTGCATACCTGGCGAGGTAGTCAACATCTCATCAGGGTTGGAATCGAACCCACGACCTCCTGCAGACCAGGCGAGGTAGTCAACATCTCATCAGGGTCGGGATCGAACCCACGACCTCCTGCAGACCAGGTGAGGTAGTCAACATCTCATCAGGGTCTGGGATCGAACCCACGACCTCCTGCAGACCAGGCGAGGTAGTCAACATCTCATCAGGGTCTGGGATCGAACCCACGACCTCCTGCATATCAGGCGAGGTAGTCAACATCTCATCAGGGTCTGGGATCGAACCTACGACCTCCTGCGTACAAGGCGATGTAGTCAACATATCATCAAGGTCTGGGATCGAACCCACGACCCCCTGCAAACCAGGCGAGGTAGTCAACATCTCATCAGGGTCGGGATAGAACCCACGACCTCCTGCAGACCAGGCGAGGTAGTCAACATCTCATCAGGGTCGGAATTTAACCCACAACCTCCAGCATACCAGGCGAGGTAGTCAACATCTCAACAGGGTCGGGATCGAACCCACGACCTCCTGCAGACCAGGCAAGGTAGTCAACATCTCATCAGGGTCTGGGATCGAACCCACGACCTCCTGCAGATCAGGCAAGGTAGTCAACATCTCATCAGGGTCTGGGATCGAACCTACGACCTCCTGCGTACAAGGCGATGTAGTCAACATATCATCAAGGTCTGGGATCGAACCCACGACCCCCTGCAGACCAGGCGACGTAGTCAACATCTCATCAGGGTCGGAATTTAACCCACAACCTCCAGCATACCAGGCGAGGTAGTCAACATCTCAACAGGGTCGGGATCGAACCCACGACCTCCTGCAGACCAGGCAAGGTAGTCAACATCTCATCAGGGTCTGGGATCGAACCCACGACCTCCTGCAGATCAGGCAAGGTAGTCAACATCTCATCAGGGTCTGGGATCGAACCTACGACCTCCTGCGTACAAGGCGATGTAGTCAACATATCATCAAGGTCTGGGATCGAACCCACGACCCCCTGCAAACCAGGCGAGGTAGTCAACATCTCATCAGGGTCGAGATAGAACCCACGACCTCCTGCAGACCAGGCGAGGTAGTCAACATCTCATCAGGGTC